CTTAGTAAAGTGTGAGTGAGAGTGTGTGGGCATCTCAGGTCGTAATCATCATCGTATAACACACACATACAAATCGCAGCTTGGTGTGTAGCCTACCAGACATGAACATAATCAACATGAATATAGCCTCGGAGGGTGCCCCAAAACCTGCAGACAGAATGAAGGATCGTAATGGGCGAGTGTAATACTACATCCTACAGTGATCAGTTCCTGCAAGACCGAGCAACTCAGTGTGCACACAGCACACAAAACACTATACAATCTTAGAGGGTAGAAGCCAGGATATGGTTTACACATTGATTGAGAGGAATAGAGGTGGACAAGGAAACCTCATTTAAAATAAACAAAGACATAGGTGAAGACTGGGAAAAAAGTGCCTGGAAGCAGCATGGGAAATACTTGTACCACGAACCAGTTTACAACTAGAATGACAAAGAACTTAAACTTTAGGAAAGAAACAAATTTTGAAGGAATCCAGAAGCCATGGGGGTGGGTGGGGGGGTTAAGAGCTCTGCCCCGTTTCCTATAACCCTTGTCAGTTTCGTTTCCGTCTTCGTGATCTACTCGTGGCACTCTGGCTGCTTTTGTTTAACTCTCCCCCCCCCCTCGAGGGGTATTTGTTCATGGGGCTGCAGTTCAGTGGTTGATAAGGGGTCGGGGGTATGATGAACTAGTCATAATGCCGCTGTGTTTGTGTAGGTGCTGCGGTAGGCTGGGCAGCTCCACAGTTGTCCTGTGTTTTTTATTTTTAGAATTGTTCCGATGAGCGAGTTTATTGGGTAGCGCCACTCATCCTGTGAGTGGACACACCGCCATAGTGACAGTATTGGGCAGCGCCACTCATCCTGTGAGTGGACACACCGCCATAGTGACAGTATTGGGCAGCGTCACTCATCCTGTGAGTGGACACACCGCCATAGTGACAGTATTGGGTAGCGCCACTCATCCTGTGAGTGGACACACCGCCATAGTGACAGTATTGGGTAGCGCCACTCATCCTGTGAGTGGACACACCGCCATAGTGACAGTATTGGGCAGCGCCACTCATCCTGTGAGTGGACACACCGCCATAGTGACAGTATTGGGCAGCGCCACTCATCCTGTGAGTGGACACACCGCCATAGTGACAGTATTGGGCAGCGCCACTCATCCTGTGAGTGGACACACCGCCATAGTGACAGTATTGGGCAGCGTCACTCATCCTGTGAGTGGACACACCGCCATAGTGACAGTATTGGGCAGCGCCACTCATCCTGTGAGTGGACACACCGCCATAGTGACAGTATTGGGCAGCGCCACTCATCCTGTGAGTGGACACACCGCCATAGTGACAGTATTGGGCAGCGTCACTCATCCTGTGAGTGGACACACCGCCATAGTGACAGTATTGGGCAGCGCCACTCATCCTGTGAGTGGACACACCGCCATAGTGACAGTATTGGGCAGCGCCACTCATCCTGTGAGTGGACACACCGCCATAGTGACAGTATTGGGCAGCGCCACTCATCCTGCGAGTGGACACACCGCCATAGTGACAGTATTGGGCAGCGCCACTCATCCTGTGAGTGGACACACCGCCATAGTGACAGTATTGGGCAGCGCCACTCATCCTGTGAGTGGACACACCGCCATAGTGACAGTATTGGGCAGCGTCACTCATCCTGTGAGTGGACACACCGCCATAGTGACAGTATTGGGCAGCGCCACTCATCCTGTGAGTGGACACACCGCCATAGTGACAGTATGGGGTAGCGCCACTCATCCTGTGAGTGGACACACCGCCATAGTGACAGTATTGGGCAGCGCCACTCATCCTGTGAGTGGACACACCGCCATAGTGACAGTATTGGGCAGCGCCACTCATCCTGTGAGTGGACACACCGCCATAGTGACAGTATTGGGCAGAGGATGAGTGGACACACCGCCATAGCAGCATGTACAACACTCCCCAATAGGAAGAAAACCCGCTGGGTTGTTCATCCTGTCATTACTACCCAGACACAGCTGAGGCTTGCTTAACTGTCCCAAGTGAACAGCTTATCAAAAAAGAAGATTAACATTTGTCAATCCCTAAAAACGTTCATGTTCTACTGTTGCCAGATTTGTAGCGTCCTGTCTCCTGTTTGTGCCATTCTCTCGTCTCCTTACCATATCTCACTTGCTTTTTTTCTTCGATTCCCTTTTGCTGCCTACCTTTCCTCTGTAGACATATCCTGTCTTAAGAATAGGATATGTCGGTGGGGCTGTGTGTGTGTACTCACCTATTTGTACTCACCTATTTGTGCTTGCAGGATCGAGCATTGACTCTTGGATCCCGCCTTTCCAGCTATCGGTTGTTTACAGCAATGACTCTGTGTGTGTGTGTGTGTGTGTGTGTGTGTGTGTGTGTGTGTGTGTGTGTGTGTGTGTGTGTGTGTGTGTGTGTGTGTGTGTGTGTGTGTGTGTGTGTGTGTGTGTGTGTGTGTGTGTGTGTGTGTGTGTGTGTGTGTGTGTGGGGCTGTGGGGGGGGGGCTGTGGGTGGTGACACGCATGTCTACTGTCTCATCACTACTTTAAATCTAACGATACACCATAGTGCCAGCCTCCCCTTCTCCCTCAACTCTTCCTTCACTCTCTCTCCCCGTTCATCATGCCCACTTGCCACCCACATGCCCTTCCTCCCACCCGTCCACACTCCGGGTGCTCTGCCACTCCCGAGCCACACCCACTCGGCTCCCCAGCTACACCCACCTCCAGTAAACTCTCACACACTCCAGGTACAACACAATCATCACTGGACGAGGTGTTGGCCGCAAAGTACTTCGTGTACCGTTCATGAATGCAATTGAAAATACTTGTATATTGCTTCTGCGTTAATTTAATCAGGAAAGGGATGGGCTTTCTATTCAAGTTTTTCAATTCTTGGAAATTAGATACACACGTTTTTGATTACTCTATAATGGGGGAGCAGCATAATGGGCTGCTCCCCCATTATGAAGCATAATTAGTTCAAGCTGAAGTAATGGACATGTGAAACAGTATCAGTGTTATGCTAATAGTAAACCTCATCATGATGATGATAGAGGACTGGCGAGAAGTACGTTAACAATAGGGGGGCGACACGACGGTGGGCGTGTGAGAGGTACGTTAACAGTAGGGGGGCTGCACGACACTGGGCGGGAATACTGGTCAGCGGGCCGCGCTGCTCCATTCTTACCGCGTTTCGGAAAAATATTGTTGGTTCCTATAATAATATTGATAGAGGTAATATATGATTATTATTGTGGTATTGCGCATAGTATCAACACTACCACCACCACTGTTCCGTTTACTTGACCTGACCTGACCTGACTTGGTCGACTTACCCGCCTCCTGACCTCTCTCCTCCCACCTAACCCTCACATGAACTATAATTCAAATCCTAACTCATAAATGATCGTCCGTTTATAATTATTGATGCCAAATTACAGTCCATTATTTACCCAGGAGGAAGTCATAATAATAGCCTAACATGTAATCATCATTTTTACCTACCGTTTTATCTTGATATGATTTTAAAAGCTATATTTATCAAATTTATTGAGGTACAGTGAGCTGGCCTACGAATTGGACCATACAAACGAGAGTAGTAGTGGTAGTTACTGCCCTTGAAACAGGAAGACTATTTGAATAGTTTGAGTTTGCTTCATTTGAGACTGTTTCTCGCTTGTTTGAATGGACGTCCTGCTCTTAACTAGTTAGAAATGTAGTTCGCCCATAAAAACTGTTGTATATATACATAAAAATAAAATATATTCCCTTCTTGAATTGGTAGAATGACAGTAGGTTTAAAATTGGTTAAATTTCACGAAAGTGGTGATAGGGGGTTGTTGATTTCGTAGAAAATGGGGTGAGTTTCGTATTGTGTGTTCGTAGCCCCTCTATTTTAGCGGCAGCTGGACTAGTCTTAATACGTTAATGGTTTCCTGAGTTTATTATATGAGTCACCCCTTAACAACAAAAACTGTTTTTTTTTCTTTGTGTATACTTGTCGTTTTCTCTTGTTGGGCTGGACGGTAGACCGACGGTCTCGCTTCATGCAGGTCGGTGTTCAATCCCCGAGCGTCCACAAGTGGTTGGGCATCATTCCTTTTCTCCTCGTCCCATCCCAAACCCGTATCGTGACCTCGTCCCAGTGCTATATAGTCGTAATGACTTGGCGCTTTCCTCCTGATAGTTCCCTTCCACCTCCCCTATTTGATTGGCGTTATCTCACATTTACTGTGTGTTTCCTCTTAACATTGATCTTTTGTCTTCCTTGCAATCTGTCTTTCCCAGACCCCCTTTTCCTATGCCTTCAATTATACTTTCCCCTCTTCCACCATAATCCCTATAATCTCCAAAAATCGTATCCTCTCCATATCCCTCGGATCATTTTTTTTCTCCTATTTCCCATATTTCTCGCAAATCCCAAACTCTATAATCTTCATCTCCTATTCCCAATTCTCCCTGACAGTTTCCTTTCTTCCCCTTCTCTCCCCCTTGTCTCCCCTTCCCTCCCCCTTCCTCCCCTCAGTGGTGCGACTAAAGAGGTCATTACTAAGGGATGGAGGTCAGGTGGAGTCTGACTCTTCCCTTCACGCCTTGTGACTCCCTCTGTAGTGACATAACCACTGTACCTGTACTTGTGTGTACCTGTAACTGCATTATTACAACCTTTAAATCCAGGGAGCCCATCGCAGTGCTCGTAAATATCTATTGCTTCTAAATTTTGTTACATTTTTCGAGTTGTTTTAACCAATAAATTATGTATATTTGTACAATTCAGCAGCTGACAAAACGCTGAAGACTGTATACAAGTTGTCTCGGGTCGAGCCTGGTCCTCGGGTCGAGCCTGGTCCTCGGGTCGAGCCTGGTCCTCGGGTCGAGCCTGGTCCTCGGGTCGAGCCTGGTCCTCGGGTCGAGCCTGGTCCTCGGGTCGAGCCTGGTCCTCGGGTCGAGCCTGGTCCTCGGGTCGAGCCTGGTCCTCGGGTCGAGCCTGGTCCTCGGGTCGAGGGTCTGGCCCAATGTTTTAGAAAATACTTGATTTACGGTATATTTTGGTGGTCAGAAATGTCAGATGGTGTTGTGTGCAGGTGGTGGTGATTCTAGGCTCGGATGCACCCTGGCTACCCAGATTTGGCAAATGTGGCAAGTGTGCATGGGTGAAATGTGATGTTCAGAGCAGGCAATACTACTGTTTGCCCGCCGCTGTGTTTCATACACCCGTGTGAACACAGCACAGCGTGCTTGGTCCGCTCACTGGTCTTGGAATTGGTAAAAAATATAATTCGAGTCAATAATGATGCTATATCTTTATATCCACGTCCAGTAGCAGTCAGCTAGGGGCGCCTTGAGACACTGGGCCTTTGGTTAGTCTAGAGCGCGACAGTGGCTGCTTGCTGGAAGCGGGAGAGGAACCAGAGTGTGTGTGACTCCACCAGTAGGTCACCGGCAGTCTTAGGTCGTCACGGGTCACAACTGCTCAGCCTCGTGACCCAACCTCCCCTCGAAGTGGAGGGAAATACTGAAAATTGTGAAGGTAAAATGACACGCTCGCGAAGTTGTGTCCTGGTGAAAGTAAGCCGTTTGTACAGTTGTCGGTGGCGGGGCTTTGTCTTACATAGAGAGTATTGCCTTCCAGGTGTTTATATGTGTAGAGTGAGGGAGACGGCAGGTACAGAGCACAAGTGTTTAAGAGACGGGAGCGCTAAACGGTGCAAGATGGCGGTGTGAGGTGGGTCTGGGGTTTCCCTAGGCCCAGTGTAAGACATGCGGGCGTGCGGCGGCGTGGACATGGGCGGCCAGTAGTGTGCAGTAGGTGAACGCCGCCGCCCACCATGAGCACCGGGAATCTGTCTGTGGTGGGGACGCCGCCCTCCGACGCCCCCGCTGCCCCCGGTGCTCTGGCCAAACTGTCCGGACTCCACGAGTGGCTGTCCCTGGAGAACCGGCGAGTGAAGCAGTGGTGGTCGACGCGCTCCGGCACTGACCTCCACAGGATCTACGTCAATCAGCTCCAAGACACTGATGGTGAGCCTTTCATGTATCCTCGTGCCCTGGCTGCTATCCTGCTGACCCAGGTAACATCTTCCCTTCACCGATGGGTTATAATCCGATGGCGAACCTTTCTTGGATACCAGCAACCCACAACCTACTGTCCTTGACCTTAGCCTTCCCAAGGTACCCAGCTGTGCTACTCTCACATCTCCGTGTATAAGGTAAGTTGCATCATGAGTCAGTGCTCCGCTGGAGGAAGGTTGCAAGGCGTGTCCATGTGCCAGAAAGCTACACTGCCGCTTGTGGTATTGCAGGATTGAGTGGAGTCGTGTGTCCTACCCATCAACCTTCAGTCCTGGCGCCACCAGAAATTTTAACAAATAAAATATTCTTTAACGTTTCTAGACGTTTTCTATGCCTTCCTGGGGGTAAATGAAATAAACTAACAAGATTATCCACAAATATTTTCGTCATGTTGATCGTAATTAATAAAGTGGTTGACTTTACTCCAACCGCTTGAGTGGTTGATGGGGGAGGTTACCTTACCTTGAGGTTACCTTGAGGTGATTTCGGGGCTCAGCGACCCCGCGGCCCAGTCGTGGACTAGGCCTCCTCGTTGCTGGACTGGTCAACGAGACTGTTGGACGCGCCTGCTCGCAGCCTAACGTATGGGTTACAGCCTGGTTGATCAGGTATCCAAGGGGGAGAAGAAAGGTCCCGCCGCCTCTCTCAACAACACCTTCATAACAACCGTTGACAAACTCTCTCACAAACAAATGTGAACCAAAGGTGAACGAATTGAAGTTTGAATATATATATTGAGAGTCATGTTGATCACCTTCACCTGGCTGCCAGCGACTAACCTGGGGGCGTGCTCCCCTTCAGGGGAGGGGGGCATGCTTGTCTTCTGGGGTGGGGGGGGGCGTGCTCCCCTTCAGGGGTGGCTATATACATTTCTGCGGGTTATTAAGGTTTAGAAGCCCCCCTGCACCCCCCAGAGGAGAGCGCCCTACCACCTTGGTTTAGAAGAGATGGTTTATATGTCAGTGTAGTGAGCAATTTAGAGGCACATGATGTGTGATAGTGTAGGGAGCTTTGGCGGGCGCTTGCGGCGTTCCGGGATCCTGCCCCCTTCCTCAAGGTCTTGGCATCTTCTGCTTCCAACGTCTGTCCTTCACCTCTCTCTCCCCACCTCTCCCTTCCCACCTCTCCCTTCCCACCTCTCCCTTCCCACCTCATCCTTCTCACCTAGTGCACCTCAGGTAGACGTCCACTAGGTTCGCTGAGGGAGAACTTTATCAGCATCAAAAGCCCAAGACTTTTCAACATTCTTCCGCTACACATAAGGGGCATAACTGGCCGACCTCTCACGGTGTTCAAGTGAGAACCTGATAAACGCCTCCAGAGGACATCTGAGCAACCAGGCCGTGATTCATACGTCAGGCTGCGAGCAGTCGTGTCCAACAGCCTGGTTGAACTGACCACCAGCCAGGAGGCCTGCTCAGAGACTGGACCGCACGGACGTTGACCCCTAGAAACAACGTAAGGTAACCACATAAATAATGTAGTTATAACTCTGCTACACAAGGGAGGTAGTAAAGCTTTGGTAAAGAAAAATGACTATAGCCCAGTCGCACTATCACATACAATTAACGACGACAGAGAGATCTGGGGGTTGATATCACACCAGACCTGTCCCCCGAAGCCCACATCAAAAGGATAGCATCAGCGCCGTATGCAAGACTGGCGAACAAAAGAACTGCCTTCAGAAATTTGTGTAAGGAATCATTCAAAATCTTGTATACCTCATATGTCAGATCAATACTGGAATATGCAGCTCCAGCCTGGAGTCCAAATCTAGTCAAACACAAAACAAAGTTAGAAAAGGTTCAGAGGTATGCCACTAGGTTAGTCCCCGAGCTGAGAGGAATGATCTACGTGGTGTGCTTACTGGGACTGAACCTCACGACACTGGAAGAAGAGAGTTGGGGGAGACATGATCACTACCTACAAAATTCTCAGAGGAATTGACAGGTAGATAAACAGTTTAGCACGGGTGGTACGCGAACAAGGGGACACAGGTGGAAACAAGAGTACCCAAATGAGCCACAGGGACGTTAGAAAGAACTGTTTCAGTGTCAGAGTAGTTAACAGGTGGAATGCATTAAGCAGTGATGTGGTGGAGAGATAGACTCCACCACAGAACCCGGCTCCAGGTATACCTAGTGGACTCTACCTGCTGACGTAAGTGAGGAAGGCAAGGCGTGAGTGGTAAGAAAGAAGTACTTACTGCGTGGTAAGTCCAACATTTCAAGAGCGTTGGACGTGCAGTAGTTCACACACAAGTGAGCAACTTGTATATTAATATCAGGTTTGAGAGGAAGTACCGTTCTGGAGAGTATAGAGAGTGAGAAAGTGGTAATGGTAGAAGGCACATGCGGGAACAATTCGTCCCTTTACCACTCCGTACAAAATACAACTCTTTGTCTAACCAGAAACTTGCGCGACCAACCAACTCTGCAATCGAGGCCGATGCAGAGTAAACGTCAACATTAGACTTTTGAAATTTTGAGAGATCCACTACGGGCTCACCATAGCCCGTGCTGCTTGAAACTTATCTTCCCAGTACCTGAATCTACTACAACAAAAACAACTTTACAGATACATTGCATTTCTTCAGCATTTGTCGACTATGTAAAAAAAAAAAAAAAAAAACGTGTAATGTGAAAGGAATACATAAAAAAATCACATTTTGGAAGTATTTAAAAGGTAGTATTTGGTACATTTTTGGAAAGTATTAAAAATTGTGTATGGGATAAATGTTGAGGTTTTGTTTACAAACATGTTGGAGTGGCCCCGTGTTGCAAGCGTCCGTCTCGCCACCCGTGCATGGCGGCTCCTATGGAACATCGTTTAATGGAGACAAATTCATTCTGAACTTGTTTGAAGATCTGTAATCTTGAGATCAAAATATTGTCTCAACACAATCGACTTGAATGATCCAGGACGGACCGAAGCGTCGTCGTCCCTTCACTTTCTAGTGTGTGGTTTGGTCAACATATTTCAGCCACGTTATTGTGACTCCTCGTCTGCAAAATATTATGTCATTCCCGCATGCAAAGATCGAGGATACATTCACGCGCATACGCGACGGAGAGAGAGAGAGAGAGAGAGAGAGGCAGAGAGAGAGGCAGAGAGGCAAAGGCTAAACAGAAAGCTACTTGGAAGGAAGTTGACTGAAAGTTGTGTCAATAGCATGAGTCAAAAAGATAGTGTGTTATTAAGTACCAGTGTGGCGTGGAGGACGGCGGTGGCGGCTTGATGGCAATGCTTACAGTCCTTGAGATGCCAGGCTGAACAGATTGGGCTGGTGGTGATTACTGTGTGGTGGTCGGTGTTGGCACTGATGGCTGTAAGGATGGTAATGGTGGTCGTACCGTGCTCTTGTGTTGTCATGACGATACACATCCTGCAACTGTTAAATTTATGGCGTTTGTGCAAGATACTGAAATGTGGGGGAGAGGAGAGATGGAGGGGGAGAGAGAGAGACCTTGCACTAGAGCCGTAAAGGATCAGTAACTCGTGTCATGAGATAAAGGGATGCTGTACGTGATCTTTGTGACGCGGGGTGATGCTTCGCCTCGTCTGGTGGTCCGTTCATACCATGGATGATGAGGATTGTGAGGCTGGCTGTGATGGAGGATTGTGAGGCTGGCTGTGATGATGAGGATTGTGAGGCTGGCTGTGATGATGAGGATTGTGAGGCTGGCTGTGATGAGGATTGTGAGGCTGGCTGTGATGAGGATTGTGAGGCTGGCTGTGATGAGGATTGTGAGGCTGGCTCGTGATGATGAGGATTGTGAGGCTGGCTGTGATGATGAGGATTGTGAGGCTGGCTGTGGTGATGAGGATTGTGAGGCCGGCTGGTGATGATGAGGATTGTGAGGCTGATGATGAGGATTGTGAGGCTGGCTGGTGATGATGAGGATTGTGAGGCTGGCTGTGATGATTAGGATTGTGAGGCTGGCTGGTGATGATGAGGATTGTGAGGCTGGCTGTGATGATTAGGATTGTGAGGCTGGCTGGTGATGATGAGGATTGTGAGGCCGGCTGTGATGATGAGGATTGTGAGGCCGGCTGTGATGATGAGGATTGTGAGGCTGGCTGTGATGATGAGGATTGTGAGGCTGGCTGTGATGATGAGGATTGTGAGGCTGGCTGTGATGATGAGGATTGTGAGGCTGGCTGTGATGATGAGGATTGTGAGGCTGGCTGTGATGATGAGGATTGTGAGGCTGGCTGTGATGATGAGGATTGTGAGGCTGGCTGTGATGGAGGATTGTGAGGCCGGCTGTGATGATGAGGATTGTGAGGCTGATGATGAGGATTGTGAGGCCGGCTGTGATGATGAGGATTGTGAGGCTGATGATGAGGATTGTGAGGCTGGCTGTGATGATGAGGATTGTGAGGCTGACTCGTGATGATGAGGATTGTGAAGCCGGCTTGTGACCAGTGCTGGTCAGAACAAATCCAATATTTGTTCGTTAATAAATCCAACTGCAATTCGCATATGGATAGCGAGGTGTGGATACAGGAATGTAATATATATGTTATATAGATAATTATATAGATAATAAACTTGTTATTATTCTAATATACAAACTGCCAAATGCAACGGTTGGGGAATTGACGGAACAGATAAACAAAATATAGAATACCCTCTGTAATCTGGCAAACCCAATACCTGATATCTTCCTAGGAGACTTCAATATGCCCAGTCTAAGATGGAGAATATCAAAGAAGAATATACCAGATTATTTCCAGATAATAGTATTATCTGGAAATAAAACCACGTATGGTAAAAATGCACCAGAATACAGGGTACAAAATACAATCAAATATGCCCATGGTAAGAGAGCAACATGTAAAGGATCTGGGGAATAATGATATCTGACGACCTTACGTTTAGGGAGCATGACCAAACAAATATAGCTTCAACCAGAAAAAATGATAGGATAGATAAAACCCTGGTT